ACCCCCTTGCGTAATGACTTTTCAATTTCCTTTAAATTCTCCACCCCCAAAAAAAAAAAAAATCCCAACAAAAAGACACCTAAAAAATGTAGATTACGTGATCCTGCAAAACTAACCTCGTCCCCACCTTAATAACCTACACCCTAACATAAGTCAATCACAGCGAACGGCTCACATTTCATCTCAGTTCTAATCAGTTGATCCCGCGCATGGAGCACGAAAATTAAAGTACACCGTACGTACACTAACATATCCTCTATACCCATATAACGCCACCCAAACACCAATTTCTTTTCATTGCACATTTTTCTCCCACTGTTGTATACTCTCTCTAGTATCTCTCTCCACTCAAATACTGAAATGGGTATTTTTCAGAATTTTTATTTTAGTTTTTTGTAGTATTACGTTAATTGATTGATATTTTTGTCAATTAATAGTTTAATTGTTTTATTTGTTTTGTGTTTTTACAGGAAAGATCAAGATTGGAATTAACGGTACTAGATCTGATCTCAATGATTGCTTTGTTTTTCTAAATATTTGTTTATTTCATGGATATTGGTAAATATGTTTGATTATTTGAAGGGTTTGGAAGAATTGGCCGATTGGTGGCTAGAGTTGCTTTGCAGAGAGATGATGTTGAGCTTGTTGCAGTCAAAATAGATCTGATCTAAATGATTGCTTTGGTTTTCTAAATATGTTTTATTTCACGAAGTTTGGTAAATTATGTTTGATTATTTGAAGGTTTTGGAAGAATTGGCCTGTTGGTGGCTAGAGTTGCTTTGCAGAGAGATGATGTTGAGCTTGTTGCGGTCAACGATCCGTTCATCTCTGTTGATTATATGGTATTTTTTTTCATTTTCACTTTTTTTTTCAGTCTTTTGGTTCACTTCTGTGGTTTTAGTTTAGGATCTTGTGACCTGGATCTGTTGCGTGTGCGATTTGCTCGACAATTCATAAAATATTATTGCTTTCACTCGACGTGAAACCCAACTATTACTCTTAAATTATTATAATGTTTGACCTGATTATAACTAGTAGTCGCTTTGCCTACATGATTTAGATATGATTCCTATATACTTGATTGAACTTCTTATGATCTCGTTGCGAGTTTATTTGAGTTGGATCTACCTCTGTTATTTATCTGTCTAGTAGTTGTGGAATGAGTTTCTAGTGATTTTATATTTTGTGTAATTGTTGCAGACATATATGTTTAAGTATGATAGTGTTCACGGTCAATGGAAGCACCATGAGCTCAAGGTCAAGGATGATAAGACACTTTTGTTCGGCGAGAAGACTGTAACTGTTTTTGGCATTAGGTACTTATCTTTAGCTTTATATAACCTTTTTGTTCATTGCCTTGTGTGTGAATATGGATCCTGTGCTAGTTATTGAATCCTTGTTTCCAAATTAAATTGTATTTGAAGGAACCCAGAAGAGATCCCGTGGGCTGAGACTGGCGCTGAATACATTGTGGAGTCAACTGGAGTGTTTACTGATAAGGACAAGGCTGCATTCCATTTGAAGGTTTGTGATCGCTAAACAATCTTGGGATTTGATTTTTGATTGTACCTGAAGGGACATAGGTTGAAAAAAATTCTTAGATCTGTAGAGTTTATTCATTTTATTTTTTTACACAGTTCTGTTAAATGATTTTGTTTAGTTGTCTGCAGACCATTAATGTGTCTGTAGCTATATTTATATTTTTAATACATTTTTCTGCTTCTTTGCTCATTTATTCTAGCCATTAATGCTGTTTATAAAGTCATTACTAAATATGGGTGGTTGTAAGTTTGATGTAGTTGGCAATGGAAACTTTCAGCTGATAATTTAATTTGTTTTATGTAGCATATAATTCTTCATGGAATATTTAGAGGACAAAATTCTTACAAATATTATTAATTTATATTTAGGTAGCGCATGTTTTGTGTAGAAAGCATTATATTAGTTTTCAATCTGATAGTTTCAACTAAAATTAATCTTGAATTTTAGAATAGAGATACAAAACTTGCTAGGTCTGAAATCTGTAGTGATCTGACAAAGAAGTTTGCATTTTTTCTGTTTTAACCAATTCTAGCGTTGTTAGTCTTGTTTTGTGTTATGCTAATTCTTTTAATTTCTTGAATTAGGGTGGTGCAAAGAAGGTTATTATTTCTGCACCAAGCAAGGATGCACCCATGTTTGTTGTGGGTGTCAATGAGAAAGAATACAAGCCCGAACTCAACATTGTTTCCAATGCCAGCTGCACCACCAACTGCCTTGCTCCCTTGGCAAAGGTTTGCAGCTACTGTTAACTTGTGTGTTCATACTTATGTTCTGTTATGTCAATAAAAACAATTTTAATACTTACTAAATTTTCAGGTTATTCACGATAGGTTTGGAATTGTTGAGGGTCTTATGACAACAGTCCACTCTATAACTGGTAGGTTTAGTCATTTATTTTGTCTGGCATTCAAAACTGTGTCATTGATAATTATGCTTCTTATTTTGTTATTTAGCAACTCAAAAGACTGTTGATGGACCATCTGCAAAGGACTGGAGGGGTGGAAGAGCTGCTTCATTCAACATCATTCCCAGCAGCACGGGAGCTGCCAAGGTATTTAATTCTTTGAAAGTTGTACAAACCTGTCTTACTGCTCTCATTTGATGGTTAATGGAAGATTGTGTTTATATCGCGCTAGTTCTCTATTTCCTTTAATTTAGCTCTGCCTTCTCGTTAATCACTTCCTCCTGATTCTTACCTGTTGTCCTTGAAGGCTGTTGGAAAAGTTCTTCCTGCACTGAATGGAAAGCTGACTGGAATGGCCTTCCGTGTGCCTACTGTTGATGTCTCCGTGGTTGATCTCACTGTTAGATTGGAGAAAGAGGCTACATATGATGAAATCAAGGCAGCCATCAAGTAAGGATGCATGGTTTTTCTGTTTATCTTCATGGACGTTCATGTTTATCTCCGTGATGCTATATTAACGGCTCCCTTCCCCACAAAAAAAAAAAATACAGTCTAACAATAATGCATATTCATATGCCCCATTTGATTGTTGTTTTTATGCTTTTGACAGGGAGGAGTCCGAGGGCAAGTTGAAGGGAATCTTAGGCTTCACTGAAGATGACGTGGTGTCCACTGACTTTGTGGGTGACAGCAGGTGATGTTTTTGTTTTACTTATGATAGGTTATGGATTATTGTTTAGCATTCTTTTTCCTCCCCTACTTTATTTGCATACACAAACGTGTCACTTCTTTAATGGCTCCCCAAACCTCTCAATAAATAGTGGACCCTGACAAATGAATTTGGAAGGACCACAATTTAATAAGTTGTGATTTGCTTGTGGTTTGATCCTCAAATAGTGTACAGTAGATATGCATGTGTTCATTTATAAACAGATAATCTTGCATGTCTGATAAATATAATTGATTGCTCCCTGCAACTGCAGGTCAAGCATCTTTGATGCCAAGGCAGGAATTGCTTTGAGCAAGAACTTCGTCAAACTTGTTGCGTGGTACGATAATGAGTGGGGTTACAGGTGCGTACCTACCACATTTAGAAGCCTTGTTTGCTTTTCTTGAAGTCTTTGCATCTGATTTATCTTCCATATTGCAGCACCCGTGTGGTTGACTTGATTAAGCACATGGCTTCAACTCAGTAATTTGTATGAGATGCTGCACGGTGGTTATGCATTTGAGCTGCTCTTCATGGTGTCACTTCTTCTAAAGAAGTACGTAACTATAGTCAGAATAAAGGCCGCCGGAGAGCAATGCAGTTTGTTGCGTAAGCCTGATGTGCATGTTTTGATTTTAATGGGATGTAGACTGTTTCCAAAGGATTTTTGTGGCTTGCAATTTCCCAAGTAACTTGTATGCAGAGTTTTGCCTTAAATATGAAATAACGTTAAACACTATTTCCTATTTAGCGGAATGTCAAATGCTTTAATAATGTGTTAATACTTTTACCAGCGTCCCTAGATAGTTTGTATGGTTGTGGCATTTGAGCTGATTAATCGTGGATCGAGTTGTCATGTCACTATCACCTTTCAAGTAGTTATGATGTGTGGTGGTGAATTACCAAGTGGTAGGCAATAAAATATCTATACCTGCAATGACAAGGACTGTTACAAGTGGTTCTACTTTTTAAACTTGGGTGAAGATTTGCAGATCTAAAGGTCGTTTGCCTTCTCTACTCTTTTGGTCTGAGTGTATCGAGACCCACTCGAGTGGACAACACAGAAGGTTACCTGTTGTGCATGACATGACATCGCATGTCTTTGATGAAAGACGTGCTAACATATTGGTTGGATATCTCATTGTCTGCATTTGACGATTGGTTAGAACTAAAGAATCAAGCATCTTATAAACGGTGCTTTGGATGCAAGTATGATTTTATGAGCCCACAAGTTGGAGTCTAACTCAATAGTCACAACCAATTGGTTGGATCTCTTGTTTCTGCATTTGGCAATTAGGTAGATTTAAAGATCGTGCCCCCTACAATTGGTGTTTCGATGGTTGCAGCCAGTTGGTTAGATCTCTTATTTTCTCTGCATTTGACAATTTCGTACACTGGAAGATCTTTTATCTACAACACACGATACAATTGGTTTGAGAACAGACGCAAGCTCTTTCTAAACAACATTTGCTGAGTGGTCACCAGTGCTAATTTTCAATTTCCATTTTCACAAAATGAAGATACAAAATAATTGAAGAAAATAAAAGGTGAACTGGCCCAGGTAGCAAATTCTTTGCACCACACAATACAGGAAGGAATCGTGCTTTATATCAATGTCCGATTGCCAAAATCATTTAAAAAAGAATCCAACTCAAGCTTTGTGAAATTCTTCGCATCTATGGCAAAGGTCTAACTAGCCCTAGTCGTGCAACAGAATGTAATAAGAGCCCAAGAAAATGGTTAAGATTTCACGAGACAAAAGAAAGGAATCTGAAGAAAAACACCTCAAAATTCATCAAAGATTAGTCCAATGTCATTATGGGCTCCGAGAATGAAACTAGTTGATCAATCAATTTCTCCATCTTCCATATCAATAGAAGTACTTGGGTTGCTTCGATATTTAACTGCCTCCTCCTCCTCGTCATCCTCCTCCTTTATGTATAATCCAAGTTGCTCCAGTGGATTACCCGTTGCCTGAAATTTGAGACTACCAAGGCCATTTTCAGAACATTCTGGGTTTGTCTGCTCTATTGTGCCCTGTGAGTTCTCATCTGGAGCAGCTCTAAAAATTTCAAAATCTTCAGTAAACTGGATATTCTCATTAATCTCGACGGTCTTCTCCATCTGTTAAGAACATAATGTTAAGTAATGAACACGGGGGGATTACTCAAATTCCAAGTGATTTTTGTCACTCAAGAAACTCTCTAGTTTTACCTTCTGCAGAGCCTGACGTGCTGCTTCCCGTTCAAGTTCTATTTTCTTTTTGGCTTCCGTTGCAGCTTCTGCTTCAGCTTTTATTCGAGCGTCTTCTGCAGCCTTGGCTTCTGCTTGCAGACGAGCTTTCTCTGAATGAAAACAAGTTCGAAACATCATTGCATAGTAAAATTAAATAAGAATAAATCTAGATGTCTATTTCCAGCAAGAAGCAATGCACATTAGCCTTATACAATAACATTTTCAAGAAACTCGGACCTTCTCTTCTCCGTCTTTCAAGCTCTTCTCTGTTAAGCTTCAATTTTTCAGGATCCTGGTTCTTGCCCTAAAAGTTTTCAATTGCCCCATTTGTTACTCCACAGGAGTGGAATGCAATAAAGCGAGCTAAAGCTTCACTACTAAATCAGAGTTCAACATACCCGTTCAAGACTATTCTCTTGGGCTTTAATTATAATATCTGCAAATCGGCTTCTCAATAAAGCTGCACGATATAGCTTTTGGGGGGAGACTTGCCTATCAGGTGAAGCACTCTCCCCTAAAATGTTACAGTATGCTGGTGAGATGCTGCTTCACTAAAAGCACAACATTTTCTTCAATGGTTTTCATTGCTTACCCTCTTGACGACAATTTAACATCTTATTTGCTGGAGCTGAATCCTTGACCCCATCTGATTTATCACCAGAAGAACTCCCCGAGTCTGAATCTATGAAAAAGCACCAAGACCAAAAGATAATAGGATGTTAAATTAATAAATAGTTGCAATAACTCATTGATAGTGAAGTTAGATTGCCGTGATAACAAATGATTAAACAATGACCAAAAAATAAAAGCAACACCCACCACCAAGAGCTTGCGAAGAACTGACCCCTCCATAAGGAAGAGGATCTGTAACCCGCAAGCTTTGGTCAAAGAATTTCTTCAGACCGATCAGGCACGTGTAGGACATGCTCATATTTACTTATTATGACAAAAACACAAAAAGAATATTATTCTACACAAGATATATCACTATTTGAAATTTACGCATATTGAACAAAATAAAGTAATACAATATTTAGTCAAGAAATATAGCAACTGGATTAATAGATGTAGAAATATGATGACAACAAATAGGACTAATGGAGCATCATTTCTAATTCTCAACGCACTAAGCACGCATTAGGACATCCTGGGGACACCGACCTCTTCAGGGTAAAAGATGTAAACTTTAGAAAAAAAATATTGTTCAAAGTGTAAAATGGGAACTTCTAGGTCGAAAAGAGAAATAGGAAAATTTTGAATAGAGTGGAAATAAATAATCACGAGAGGGGTTACCTAATATTTATATGCTTACAGTACTTGCAGCTGATCGACCAGTTTGATGTTCTTTACTAGGGTCCATCATCTATTATTTTGCCCATGTTTGGTGGGGATTAAAAATCACATTTTTAATAGATTTTGATAAAAGTTGATAAAATGTGTAGTTAAAAGGTTGTGAGTTCCATGAATTATGTGCTTAAAATTAATAGTTGATTTAGATTTAAATTAAAATCTAGATTTTAATCCCTACCAAACATGGGCTTTTAATCTTTTTCAAATCAAAGGCCTCTTAACCTATTTCTCTTATTCTTCAAACTAATTTTGCAACCAATTTATATCTTTTCCATTGTTTTTTCAACTTCCCAATGTAATCCAAAAAAATTGACTGTGTATATAAAATAAATTTCTAATTCAACCCGGGGTCTACCCCCACTAAAAAGAGAAGAGAAACGTGGAATTAGAGAGGAAAACAAACAGAAGAGTACCAGTCATGCTCCCGAATAATGTTTGAGATTCTACCTCCACAAGAGTGGGATATCACAATGTTGCAGGCTTTCGATTGGGCTTGATGCGCAGTCCAATCAAATGTATGGTGAAGGAAGTAAAACATGGCATCCATAAAATCCTTAACTCATCAGCTAGGCTATCTGAGATTCTAAGAGGATGCGAACACCCACAATGAAGAAAACAATAAGTATAATACAGCTATTGAGTGGAGCGCTATGCCATAAATCCTCCACTCAGGCATACGAAAAACCAATATCTAGAGTTATGAAAGGAGGTTAAATCAATGAAATGCTGAAGATTGTCTAAGACCCCATGTTTGGCTAGGCCTAAAGTTCGTTTCAAGTAAATTATTTCATCCAAATATGTTGGAGGCCTTTTAGATTTTATTATTATTATTATTATTGGGTAGGGTGTGTCGGAGAATTACTACCTTTTCTTAAGTTCAGTCAAAAATGCTTAAGATAAACCAAATTAACATTCATGTACTTCATAACAAGGAAATAAAAATTGAAAGCTGTAGAGAAAATAAGAATGAAAGTTCAATAACAACACGAACCACTGGACGAGGAGCCTGACTCTCTACTAAAGCTATTTGAACTACTGCATTTACTGTTCCTCCGGGCTACAGAAGGAAAGCTTGAAATAGGTGGATCATTTCCACAAATATCCACATCCATGTCGGCCGGCTGATTTTCTGATAAAGACATGGAAGGGGAATGAGTAGTCTTATTAACCCAAGGACATATGCAACTTCACCTGCACAAAGGAGAATTACCTTCGAAAGGTTGCATGGACATCTTGCGGAACCGTGATTCATTACACGTCTGCAAAAGATATATACACCAGTATTACACGTGGATATAATGTGAGAATATTTAAACATCATATAAGTTGCGTGCACAAGCATAGAAGTGTATGCTCAGATGTACCTCAATTGCACATGGCTCGACTTTTGCTTGATTTTTCTTCTCCAATGCAAAGTTGTCCAAAAGCTTACGTAACTTGAATAGGGTATCATCACTGAGAGTATCAATATCAATTTCAATCTCACCCTCACTCACTTGACTTCCATTCAAACAGCTCTCTTTCAAGAAATCAATAATACTTTCAGGCAATTCTTCCAGCAAGGCCTCCAAATCTGCACCCAGTTTTTTCTTCTCAACGTCACTCATTACCAACTTAACCGGATCCTGCTTAACTTTGTGTTTAATTGCACTGGCTTTCTGCTCCTTAACAGGAGGCAAGGAAAAACCAGTTTCTGATTCTATGATAACACTTGATTTTGAAGGCACAGATTCATCAATTTTTACAGGAATCTTCTTCTCAATTGGTTTCCATCTCATTTCAAAAAAATTGTTCATTGTATCGGCCATCAAATAGACCCCACTTCCACGAGGGTTGTAAGTCATTGCATTTTTAAAGGTAAGCCTAACATCTGCAGCAAATCTCATTGGACATTGATACTGACCACGAAGTAACTTTCTTTTTATCGTTCCCAAATCCATTGGATGCTTAATCACATTGAAGTAATCAGGAATATTAAATTTTACGATGTCAACTGGTGTATTGAAAATCCATGCATGCTGGTGTGTCATCAATTGATTTAACAGTGTCTTGCATTGTTTTATCAACATTGTAGGCTTTGCATTCTTTGGCAAAATTTGCGTCACATCCATGGTCCCACCTTTTGTGCATGGACCATTTCTCCCCAGGGGAAACTTTTTCTTCCCTGGTGGTGCAGCCACTTTATTCATGTACATTGGAAAAGTTTCCATAGGAGCAGGTCTCTTTGGCCCATCACCATGGCTATGTATATCATTAGTGGGTGAAAGAATCATGGCATTTGAGCTTAATGAAGATATCTTCCTTTGTAGTGCTCTAACTTGTTTGAGCTCATCTTTCAATCTCGTCTCCAATTTCCTCCTCTTTGAGTGCGACATCTTAGACATTGAGAAGGCCTGAACTGGCACACCAAATCTATCATCGTCTGTATTCGAGCTAATGTTTTTCCTTTTTGGAGCACAAGAGTCCTCTGAAGCAGTCAATTCCTTATTAACCCGACCCAAGCTCTCAAAACCTTCTGGCTCCTCTTCCACTGTCTTTATAGCATGCCTATTATCAGGCGCAGACCCAGACGAATACCCCTCTAAAACCTTCTGCGCTTTTCCCATTACATCACTCGAACCCATTGTTAAGCACTTCTTTGATTCCCTGTTTCCTGTGTATTCTACTGTCATTGTCGGTGCCATTCATTCAACCCAAAATTCAGAACATAACAACTATTTCTCGTTCAAAGCCTTATAATTCTGATCATCAAAAAAAAATCCAATCTTAAAAAGGTATTCGCTCTTCCCGCTAATTAGATTATCTCTCACAATATTTAGAATCCAAATGTAGAAATAACAATGACAAAAGCCCTAACTCCAGCAATCATTCAGCAGCAAACTAAAAACACTAACTAATTGAATTCTTTCTTCTTTTTGTCTAAATCGAAGACGATAGCAGGATCCAAACCTAAGATATTTCGAAAAATCGGAAGTAGCCAAGACAATGCCTCAAACAGAATCCAATGGTTCAGTGCAGTTTCACTGGAAACCCTAGAGATGGAAAAATCGCTGAGTTTTGCAAAACGTATAGATACAAATAGGTCTTTATGTATATTATTTATAGAGAGAAACAGAGTTCCACTTACGAGTTAGAATTCCAGTGCATTGGGGATTCTATGAATTGCTGCTCCTTAAAATTGGCTTGAAGCCCGCCGATCTTCAAAGAATCCTGACCGTAGGTTTCAATCTGACGGCCGAAGTTTATTGCTTAACTCAGTGATTAAACTCGATTGATGTCCACGCCCAACGGCCTATTTGGAATTTTGGATGACACCAATTATTACGAGGGGTTAAATAACGAGAAATGATATTCATCCCACTGGAGATGCATCCCCAATCTATATGGTATTAAATGATAGGTGAAATTTAATTTCACTTATCATTTAACCAATCATTTACATCCATATAGATTAGGGATGCATCCCCACTGAGGATGAATAGTATTTTTCTTAAATAATTGGTATTCTTTAGGTTTTTTTGACACGAGGGTTTAAAAATATCCAAAAATTGTGTATTGTGATTTTGACTGATTCTCTCAACCCATCAAATCGGATAAAAATAATTATTTTATAAAGAGAAAATTATGTGTAAAAATTATTTAAAAGTAAAAAATTTACTTATAAGTATAAAGTTTACTTATAAGTAAAAAATAATGATTTAGAATTTGAAGTAAATATTTAACTTCATTTAAATTTTTAAGTTAAATATTAACTTATATGTAAAAAAAATACATATAAGTAAATATCATTTATGAATAAAACAAATTACATAGAAGAAACTATAAACTGAAAATTTCACTAAAGTAATTTTATTCTTTTGAAAAAATTTCAAAATCGGTGGATAATATACTCTCAAGCATGGGTTGAATCGTTTAGAAATCGCGACTAAAGTTATTCAAAATTGATCCGCTCGTGAACACTCAAAATCGATAATTTAAAAAATACTCATAACCGGTATATAAAACTCCCAAGCAAGCCCTAAGTTACCTAGAGGGGAGTTATAACATGCTAATCTTTATATAGGCAAAATGATATTTTTCTTTAAACAATTCTTCTTATATATTCACATTACAGTTTATTACTAGCACCACTTTCCGATTGCAACTAAAATTTTCAATTTTTGCTCATTTAGTTATATTTCTAAATTTTTTCTTCACATTTTTATCATTAGTTCAATTGATTGTTTGTCTGTTATGACGATATTGTTTGTATATTCGGTTAGTTTGCTTTAAAATGATATGCAAATATTTTATCGAACTTTTTGTATTTGTTGTTTATTTTGTTTATCTAACATTAAAAAGGGCAAATAAATCCTTTTAAACCATAATAAACAATTTTTTTTGAATGATTAACATTATCTTAAACAATACATGCTAATTAACAAAAAAGTAATGTTTGACCCTTAGATACATGAGCTCTGCTCTATCATATGGACGAGTCGAGCTCTATATCTTGTTTGACACCTTCCTTCTCACACGTTGCTTGCACCTAGTACTCTAAAGCATGGGTTGAATTGTTTAGAAATCGTGACTAAAGTCATTCAAAACTGATCCACTCGTGAACACTCAAAATCGATAATTTAAAAAATACTGGTATATAAAACTCGCAATCAAGCCCTAAGTTACCTAGAGGGGAGTAATAACATGCTAATCTTTATATAGGCAAAATGATATTTTTCTTTAAACAATTCTTACTATATATTCACATTACAGTTTATTACTGGCACCACTTTCCGATTGCAACTAAAATTTTCAATTTTTGCTCATTTAGTTATATTTCTAAATTTTTTCTTCACATTTTTATCATTAGTTCAATTGATTGTTTGCCTGTTACGACGATATTATTTATATATTCGGTTAGTTTGCTTTAAAATGATATGCAAATATTTTGTCGAACTCTTTGTATTTGTTGTTTATTTTGTTTATCTAACATTAAAAAGGGCAAATAAATCCTTTTAAACCATAATAAACAATTTTCTTGAATGATAACGTTATCTTAAACAATACATGCTAAATAACAAAAAAGTAATGTTTGACCCTTAGATACATGAGCTCTGCTCTATCGTATGGACGAGTCGAGCTCTATATCTTGTTTGACACCTTTCTTCTCATTAGTTGTGTCCCCGATCTGCGTATTATTGCCATACTAGGTGTGTAACGGAAAAGTCTTTCTTCTCATTTTCTACTTGAGCCTCGACAGATTCCATGACAGAAAGAATTCAAGCAATCGATACGTGAATACGAAGAACAGAGGAAATCGGGTTGTTTGAAAGTTTTTATAAGCGACTCAATTTATAAATACATAAAAATTAAATGAATGATAGATAAATAATATTTGTGGATCATATGAAATGTGTATAAAATGTAATTTGGCCGTTCATAAACTGCCAAACATCAATTTAAGTTGTATTTAGGTTCGTGAAATCTTCCACAGGAAATATGCTATTTTAATACCAATTGAAACAAGCTTATAACATTTATTAGTCGTAACAAAATTAGTACTCAATACAGACATGGTGCTAGAATTGGAATAGAAGATGAAACAAAGAGCCTTAAAACTACTGATCTCCACGGCGTGCAAAGATTTACTCAGACCAGACGAAGGTTGGCCCTCGAGTACGGACAGAGTGGAGAAAGGAGCTTAACTGCTAGACCCGCAAGGACAAAAGGTTTAGAGTCTAGATGATGAGCCATTGGGGTGGTGAATGACAATATGATTATAGGCATCAAGTGTGAGAAAATCATCCAAAATTGGTGTTGTGCATTGTCTGGTGAAAATCTTGCAAGCTTCCCTGTAAATTCCTTTTTTAAACTTCTCTTTACCAACTTCTCTCTCAATCCTAGCCATTTCCTCTTCCACTACTCGCCCGAAGAGACAAGGAGTCACCCTCAAACCGAGGCCGTCTCCATCCAATTCGACTTCATATTTCAACCACTGCCAGTTCTGCACACGGCTTATTTCAGCTGTTGCTGCATCCTCCATGAGGTTGTAAAGAGGAACAGACCCGGTTCCCGTGAGCCATGCGGCTAAGTATTGGATTCCAACCCTGGTGTTGAGACGGAGGCCTTCCATGGTTCGTGTGCCTCTTGGCCTCTGCAGGAGGTCTTCTTCTGTCAAGTTAGCCGCATCTTCACGCTTCAAGGTATCAATTTGGTTCGACTTGTTGCCCATGTTGTTGGTGAAGACTTCCATGATGGCTGGGATCAGTCCCGGATGGGCTGCCCATGTTCCATCATGCCCGGCAATCACTTCTCTTAATTTATCCTTCCTTACCAACTCCAAAGCTGCCTCGTTTGCCACTGGATCGTTGCGGATTGGAATTTGAGCAGCCTGTTCAAGCAAAGCAAGTTGGAGATTCATTCAATAAGGATATTTAGGAAAATCCTTGCACGAGCAGATCAAAGTGTATTCGACATTTGAGACATCTCCAATGCTTGAAAAATTCTACATAATGCTTAAGCAAGAACTTGTATCTATGATTAATATTAGAGCATTGCAGAGACAACTTCAAACATTAATCCCAAAGTCGAACATAAATTTAACACATAATTATTAATTTGTAAGAGACGAATATAGTTTAGACAACAACTAACCATTCCTCCCATAGCATGCACGCCACGCCTATGACAGGTTCGGATGAGCAAATCAGAGTAACTCCTCATGAAGTGTTGAGTCATCCCGACTAGAACTCTATCGGGCAGAAGGCGATCTGGGTGAGCCTGGAAAGTCTTGACATAGCTGAATATATAATCCCATCTACCACAATTCAGACCAACAGAATGGTCTCTTAGTTCATAAAGAATTTCATCCATTTGAAAAACAGCTGGTAGCGTTTCAATCAAAACAGTGGCTCTGATGCTTCCCTTCTCAATTCCAACCAATTTTTCTGCCCTTTCAAACACATTGTTCCAAATTTTTGCCTCCCTGTTCAAAAAAATTGCTCGTAAACAAAGTTTTAGAGCAAAATAACACTATCTAGTATCTACTAAGATACAAATCTTTACCTCGAGTGTTCCATTTTCGGGAGATAGAAGAAAGGGCCGAAGCCTTCACCTTGATTCTGGCGAAATGCCATGCAGTTGTGGAAAAAATAGAGGCCAAAGTCCACAAGGCAACCTGTAGCTGGTTCACCATCAATGAAGATGTGAGACTCGGGTAGGTGCCAGCCTCTCGGACGGACAAAAAGCTTAGCTGTCTGATTGTTAAGCTTGTAAACGCGATTTCTAACTTTGTCATGGAAGCTTATAGTCCTATTAACAGCATCCCTTAAGTTAACTTGTCCGCACATTAGGTTCTCCCAGCTTGGTGAGAGAGCATCCTCGAAATCAGCCTATGAAAAATGTAAATTGCAAATCATAGTTTTAGTACAACTGGTCTGAAATTTCAATTCAATCTTATGTACTTAATTAATTATTGCGACTTTCAGCAAGCATTTTTTTTTTT